ATTCCTGTTGATCGGTCGGGCTTTAGCGTTTAATATTAGACTTTTAAACAGATATCAGTCTTTTGGCCTTTAAGAGCCTAAATTACAGAAACTAAAAGGAAAGATGAGTTTTTTCAAACAGATAAAGTATGAAATTTGAACAGGGGTTAACCTAAAGCAAAAAAAAAAGATGGGTTTGTTCTGTTGAACAACGTGTTTGACAACTGATAGTTCAAAGCTTTTACAATTTTGTTGCCATATTTTTTTGTATTATTTTTCTCTTGTTTTTGTTTTTTTCAAAAGTGATAACAATGAAAAATAAGAATAACGTAAACTGTACATCAAAAGCTAACTGCTGGGTAACGAGTGAACGATTTTTTAGAGTGAAAAAAAATAAGTGGAATTTGTTTGCTTTTTTAAGCCCGTTGTTATTTCATTATGATGTTTTTTGCTGACTGATGTAGTAATTTTGTCAGTTCTGATGAAAGGAAAAAAAAAAAAGAACTTCTTTTGTCTGGTACAACCGATGATAAATGACCACTTTCTTGTATAGGTTGTTAGGCAGCATTGAAGTCATTTTCTACTCAGCTTTTTAACGTTTTATTTCTTATTTTATTTATTTATTTATCTATTTATTTTTTGCTTCTGCTTTTTTATCTCTGTCACGCCTCTTAAGTTTTCAAGTTGGGCACGTAACCAAAGGCAACGAGAACAATTGTTTTTTTTTCCCCTGTTCCATTGTTTTTTTTATCCTGTTTAATACTAAAGCCTCGTTTTTGGATGGTACAGGGAATTTGGAAAGAAGTGTTGCAGCATCTAAATGCTATTGGGGTGGGATATCAGGCGGAAAGGAAGTGCGCATTCAAAGCGACTGCTTTGACTCTGAGCAGCTTTCTTTCGTTTTTCTCAGTCCCGTTCTATGAACGCGTGATTGTCCGCAACTGCTCCGGTTTGTCGAGGCCGAAGTTCAGATTCCAATGACTAACAGATCTTCAACATCTGTTTCACAACAGAAGTAAAAGCAACCAAAAGTTGCAAAAAAACAGTTCATGTTTTTTTCAATCAAATCAAACAATCATTCTTAGTGAATAGTTGTTTCTTGTATGTTGTCAGCCGCGAGATTTCATATTAATGTTAACTTTCTTTTTTTTGCCAGAGAAAAAACAATGATAGTATGATTAGATTTAAAAAAATTTGTTTGTTTAGCTTAATTTTTTCACATTGGCAAATTAAAATGATCGGCTTATCAACAGGAGTAAGCGAAAAAAAAAAAGGAAAGTTTTTTCTTTGAACAATAGAGAAATACTTTGTTAAATTTTAAATGCAATGGTGCAAAATAAATTCTTTTTATTTACACTACGGGTGTTTTACTGTTGAAAATTACATCAGATTTCTCAAACCTTTGAAGCTCTAACTTGCCAAGTGTCTTCTTGTTTTTGTTTTGACACAGTGGCTAATATATGTAAAATGTCGGATTCTGAGATATCAACAAAGACTTAGATCCATTGAAAAGTTTTATTGCTTTTAAATGCACCTCATTTAAAAATCCATAAAAATTTCAAAATCTTCAAAATTTCAACTTACAACTCGACAAAAACTTCCAAATCATTTACCGATTTAATCACATATGTTCCTTTATTTTTTTAGCCTTCTTTTTAGAAGGTATATATATATATATATATATATATATATATATATATAATTTTTAAATCTCAAAAACTGTTTCAATCGTTTTCGTTGAAATATGCGCTTGGTATCAATACAGCTGTTTCGCTGCTTTTGCAGTTGTCGTGTTTAAGCAAGAAAAAGGATAAAATTTTTTTAATTCTTTCTTAGTGATAACTTTTTTATTTATTATTCCTTAACGACTGAGATACATGACCACTTAGTGTGTTTATGAGCTCACTGAACCATATACTACTGTTGCCGGATCTTCCCAGTAAAATTTCATCAAATCTCCGTCCTCCGACCTGTATGATAACTGCTCCAGAATTCAGCGGGAAGGTGAAGAAGCAGACGACAACAATTGTTGCATAAACACTTAAACAAAACTATTGTGTTTGGCATCGATGTTATCGTTGTTCCTGCTGATGAT